GGAGTTGATGGTCGCGTATTTAAGACCAAGGAAAATATCGAGCTTGTGTTTGAATATGGTCTTTGAAGGCGCGTCAACAACCTCCTGCGGGAGGCTGTTCAATAATGGAATGACTCTATGAATGAAGAATCAGTGACGAACTCGGGTGCCGGGCCGAGGCTTAAACACATTTTTGCAATGACCACGAAGAGTATCTAAGCTACATGGGATGAAAACCTGGTTGGCCGTGTCGGTGGAGAATATATGGTAGAGAGGAAAAAGGTCCGCTCAAGTGTGGCGGGTGTTTAGGGGATAAAGATTCAGTGTGGTCAGACGGATGGGGTATGGGACATGGAAGAGACCTGAGACTAGCTTTGTGGCTGCTCGCTGAACTAGTTCGAGGGAGTTACGGTCACCCAAAAGCCCAGAGCACGCGATTTGGGCTCCGTATTCTAATAGTGGTCTTACATAAGGGACATATATAAGTTTAAAGTCTTCTTTATCAAAGTAAGGAAAGGAGCGCTTGATGAAGTTGAGTATCTCAAAAGCCTTTTTCTGGGCTTTTTGGTGGTGGCAAGTAAAAGATAGAGAGTTAGATAACCAGAAGCCAAGGATACTATGCTGATTGACAGTCTGAAGTCGGAATGTGTTGCACACATTGAAGGTGTGCGCGCAGCCCCTGCTAAAGGACATACTTATACATTTGTCATCATTTATTGTTAGGCTCCAGTCTGATGACCATGCTTTGGTGATATCCATGGCTGCCTGCACTGCTGATGTGTCACTTGGCCAGATTGTGACATCGTCAGCATAGATAGAAATGTGGACTGGGATTTTGTCCGGGAGGTCATTTATATACAAAATTAAAAGGAGTGGACCTAGAACGGATCCTTGGGGAANAACAACTGTTGTCATCGGGGAAGAGTTTGAGAAGGGGATTCCTGCCCTAACAGAGAAGGAGGTTCCTACCCTAACAGAAAAGGAGGTTCCTGCCCTAACAGAGGAGAGCGAGGATATAAAGCTGCCTAGAGGAGTAAGAAGCCTGTCTTTAATAACATACATTTCCAACTTGTGCATTAGTGGAGAACGTGGTACTCGATCAAAGGATATGGCAAAATTTATGAAGATTGCATGTGAGAGTTTACCATCATTATGGGTCTAAGTTAAACGTTCCATGACATAGCATATGCATGATCTTCCAGGAATGAAGCCGTGTTGAAAAGGAGAAAGAATGTAGTTTTCACTCAGGTGTTCAATAATATGTCTATTAATGATACGTTCAAATATTTTCCTGGGGATGCTAGGTAGACTTATCCATCTGTAGCTGCAGGCGTGATGCCGCGGTCCCTTTTTGTAGATCGGTGAAATGGTAGCCTTTTTCTAGCCATCAGGGTATTCAGCTTTATCTAGGCAGTTTTGAAACAGCCGCCCGTAAGGTGGGGCTGGTACAGCTGCTGTCTCTTTGAGTATTCTGGGATGGAACTCATCAAGGCCCAATGAGCTATAAGGGTTTAGTGACTTTAGAAGTTTGGGTAATTCTTCGGTCTGAACAGTGAAGTACTCTAAGTACTCTAAGGAGTATTCCTGACTTAGACTATAGAGCAGAAAGAAAGTAGGTGGAGCGGAGTTGAAAATATCTTGGAAGTGAGTTCGGAACGTGTCCGCTACCTTTTCAGGTGAGGTAATTGTGGAGCCGTCAGGAAGTTTCTGGGCTAGAGTAGAGGAACTGCGTGGCCTTTAATGGCGAAGAAGTTTAAAAAGGCAGGAGGGGTTTCTTCTTTCCCTGACTAAGATATCTTTTTGTTGCCGGTTGAAAGATTCCATGATCTTGCTCTTTCATAGGTTCCGGATAAGTTTGAATTTATCCGCGTCACTATCCAAGTTTGTGAGCTTGTACCTTGCATAGGGGAAGTTCCGTTCTTCCAGAAACCGACGTATTAAACGTGGAAGAGGAGGGCGGCTTTTGGTTGCGGTTAATATCTTGGGAACGAACAAGCAATCGCCTGTTCAGAGTACGTTCTCAATTTGGTCATTGAGTATGTTTGTTTCTGAAGATGGGTTAACAGAAGTCAGATTTGCTGCCAAGTAATCCGTTAGAGCAGCGAAGTCGGTCCGATTGAAGGACCGCAATGCTCTTGGTGCTGACTTATAAGATGGCTAATGAACGATGAATTCAAAGCTTAGGAGAGAGTGATCACTCTTGCCAAGTGGGAAGAGACCTCGTCGAATTGGTGCCCATTATTCGATATCACCAAATCAAGTAGAGAAGAGGACTGACCCGGGCAAAATCTGGTGGGACAGCATACATGTTGGTGCCCTGATCTCTCAGTAATAAGGTCTAAAAGGGGCTGACCAAAAAAGATGTTGCTGGAGTTAGTCCTAGTCCAGTCAATAGCCGGAGCGTNAAAGTCGCCGGTTTTAAGGACGTGTGTAGAGGGGCAACAGGATCGAAGATAGCGAAGTCGGTTTAGAAGGATCTGTCCTTGTCTGTTTGGGGAGCGATAAATGACACCTAATAACATGGAATCTCTGTTGGCGAGTGTCTATCATGGGGATGGGATCCTGGGGTACTAAGGCGGAGGAAGGGACTGGCTCAAGTAGATAGCCACACCACCGGCGCGGCTTCGATTTGAGTCGCTCCTCAAAAGTGTATAACTATCTATTTTGACTTCCCGTCTAGGATATCTGAAGTTAGTCATGTCTCCGTTAGAGTTAGAATGTATGGTTAAAGATCTTCAATCTTTTGTCTGAGTTCAAGTACTCTGTTACCAAGGCTTAAAAAGTTGGTGTACATGCATTTTAGCACTTGCTCACCAGAAATATCAA